AGTAGCGATTAACAAAACCCAGTAATCAACCAAGATGCAACGAATGACTGATCAAGCTATTTTTAGACTCCTACTATTGACACTGGCACTGTAGGACCTTGTATGCCCCACTATAGGTGAGGCGAAGTACAGATATCACTGTACCTGACTCAAATCATCAAATCCAGTAGTGCGCTTTCAGACACTGACTCAATACTGAATTGCGATTTCAGGGTGAGTGACAGACTGAAATTCTGACGGACAGAACCTAAGATATGGCAAACCCTAGCTGCCCCAAGCACTGGCTATGGCAGCACAGTACTCATAATTCCATTATCACTGACATACAGACCCTGAACTACTCAATTCACTATGTGTACTCGCAATACTGTAATACAGTCAGAGATGCAACTTGAGACAGAGAGCAGGTCAAACAGTGTCAGTAGAAGTCAAAGTAGGTAGGTAGGGGAAATAGCAATGGTTGTCACGCAGTGCGATTTTCAAGTTTCACTGTTTACAGGCATATAGTTTCGATAAGTCTAATCACAACTATCAGACTCGCTACAGGGACTTGAGTAAGGAACACACTTACTTCAGGTTAAAACATTGGAAGAAGAAGTTGAATTGGCTATGGCTGCCATCTCGCCAGTTTCTTCTATTCTCTGTTCCTGGTGCTCCCACGTTCCAAATCAACCTTCAAACTTGGTGATACTGTAGTTCTTGATATGGCGATTAATCCCCACTAATCAGATTCATTGTATCTGGCCCAAAATCTGAAACTCGACATACCCCCAGGTATCTCGCCACCAGCAGAGTCCACGCCTGGGCTAAAATAGCCCCTCGGTGCCTCCCAGGCCACTGAGCACTGAATCGCCACTAGTCTCTGTGTCATACCAACCGCCACACACTCCTCACCAACACCCTACTGAGCGCAGTACTGAAGATGCGATTCCAACATGAAACCCAACATCAGAAGCTCTTAGGTAGTGATGGTTGCCTCAGTCCATCATCTCGCCACTGTCTGGGTCCGATCTGCTCCGATACCAACTGTTATGAACATGATTGTCTGTTGAAATGTTATCAACGCTCACTCACAGGAACTCCCGTACATGCCCATACATGCACAGAAGGAAGGGGAGAGGTAGTGGAGTGTCACACCGCCCAACAGAAAGAACGCAGTGGAAGACTTAGAGGAGCGAAGTGACAAAACACACAAAACTGTGGATTCTCTCCACACAGGTCCCAACAATCATTCATAGAAGACAACCGAGTGATCACAACCAGCAATCAATGAAGAGATGACAACTCAAATATGGTAATACAACTGTTTATTAAACTCAGAGCATCGTTCACTGAAATGACCTCAGAACCCTGTTGCGCTACCAGCCTCAACCCCACACACACCGAGTAGCTAAAAATAGCACCAGAACCCCAGGTAACACCTAGCGCCACCCTGACATCCAACTCAGTGGCCTGCGCCAAGATGAAACAGGCTCCCAGAGTCAATCGCCACCCAGATGATGAAGAAGAAGCTCAGCGCCAACAGTCCCTGATGAAGATGAAGTCCAGACGATGATACCCTATGAGAAGATGCAACTATGATTGCATCGCCACTGGGACCCTACTCCTGAGGAGGGTCAGCAGTGCACCACGTGCTCCAATGCATCAGACCTCTGATAGCCCAGACCGCTTTGACTCCCAGAGAGTCAGAGCGGACAGCGTTGACTCCAGTCTGGTCAGCGCTCCGTCGATTTGGCTATGCCCGCCGTCTCCACCACCGGAATCAGCAACCACGACCTGATACCGGGTGCGCAGCCACTTCCACCACGAAGTGTCAACTGCCAAAAGCCCCGGACCGATGTCCCCATCCTATCTATACCCTAGACTAGCCTAGACACGACCTAGACCGGA